GACGTTTTGGTGTCTCTTTTGTTTCCTCATTTGCCTGCTGTTTTGCAAAGGCAGACAGACTGGCCTCCCAAGTTCTTAGTGTGAATTGGCGATCTCCTGATTATCATCTTATTCTGGCCTAGTGCTGTTTCGCTGATGCTACTCCTGACTTAGGAAGCAGCTCATCGTCGTTTGTGGACATTGGTGAAGCCAGGCCCACCTTCTGTGGCAGCCGAGCAGCGTGGGGTGGGAGGAAGGGAAGGAGGAGGTCTGCGGTCAGCCCCAGCCTCGGTGATGCTGCAGCAGGGCCTGGCTCCAGCTCCCCGCAGCCAGGCCTTGGGCCCTGCTGAGCTGGGCCCACATCTCAGCCTGGGCCTGGCCTGCCCCCACCCCCAGGTTGGTGCCCGATGCCTATGGCTGGGGTGGCCCTGGGGTCTCCAAAACTTTCTTATCCTGGCTGGAGTGGTGGGACACAGGACAGGCCCTGGTAGAAATAGTTCCTTGAGGCACCCCGGTCATGGGCATACAATTTTATCTGTGTGCTTTATGTATTAAAAGAGAATGAAAATATAGTATTAACATACACCATGACACTTCACATGATTTCAGAGACTGAGTGACAACTACTGTGTGACAGTAAGAGCTATCAATTGCATAGTGTTTTGGTTACATTTTAATTCTTGAGAGATGGATGGCAGCAAAAATGCTCTGTAATGTGTGGGGCACTATTAAGATACTCAAATCCAGCAGTATTTAGAGTTGCTGATGAAATATGTGGTAAAATACAGAAGGATTTGTAACGAGCTATTCATTGCATTGCCTAAACGTGCAGGAGGTTATTCCCACAGCCCATGAAGTCTTGAAGTAGAGCAGCATGATACAGAGCACCTGTATTTCATGCTGAGTGAAAGGGATCTGTACAGGAGCAAAGACTCCTTAAAATCTACCAGAATGGTGCTGAAGTAAATAAATTTTGTATTTCAGAAAAAGACGATAAAGCATGTGTTTCTTTCTCCCAGTGAGGATACAAAGGGAGTATTATAAACACGTGTGAAGCAGCCGTACGAGCTGTATGTGTTCATTTCCCTCATTCTGTGACCAGAGCTGCTCTGTCTTGCTAGAATCTGAATAGGTCACAGTGTTGTCTTTCACATTGGCATAGCTAGACCCATTATAAATTACAGTAAAAAAGTTATTCAGTACTACAGCTTTTTAACTTTCTTCCTTGTCTCCTTGGAAATAGTGGTGCAAATGTATGGCAGAACAGTGCTTTAAATATTTGATTTGTGAAATTCACTGGGTTCAAGCTTTCCAAGTGCTAAGGGCACACACTTCTTTCTTACTTCAGTGAATGTGCAGGATCCTCAACACTTCTTTGCAGAAGGAGGCTCTGTTGGTAGCGAACTGTAGATCTGCATGTGTGCCCTGCCTACACTTGGCTTCATGAGTTTTGGAAACTTTTTGTTTCCTTGCATATGCAGTCACTTGCTTTGAGAGCTATTCTAAGGTTTTTTTTCTAATTCTCTTCTTGATTGCAGATTGACTTGGAGCCAGAAGGGAGAGTGTATGTCATCATCGACCTTTCAGGATCGTCAGGTGAAGGTAGGGACTTTGAATATTTTATCTTATTCTTTCATGAATGGACTCTTCCAAGGGCCACTGCAATGAAAGCATTAGAGGACGTGCTGTGCTAATACGCTCTTACATCTGTATGAGCTCAGGTTAAGGTGAACACATTTTAATGTATCTGCCTGTGAGTCAACGAGCAGTTGCAGTTCATCTTACTGTGTTTATCACTGATGGTAACAATACCAGCTAAAAGGATAGTAATGAAATGAGAATAGTTTAGATTTCATTTCCAGAAGAAACTTCCAACTTCCAGTTTTTGGAAGAATGCTATCCCTTATGTATGTAGAAATGGTAAGATGACAAAGGTGAAGGGGAGTTTATTTGATTTTTAATTCATTCTAATATTGGGTATTTTTCCACTAAATGTTTTATTTTTCAAGTAAAGTAATGATCAAAATGTTGTGATGACAAGAGATGTTTTCATTTTTATGACACAGCAATGATATTTTTTGGACCAAAAAAACACCCGAAGAAAGGTGGAAGAGAAATATTTATTAAACACTATAAAGACAAGTGCAAACAGAGTCAAGTGGTGTATGGTGGGAATAAGAGAATTTATGAAGAAGCAAATCTGTGTATCTTAGTCATGTTCTTGATGACAGCGTGACCTGCTGAAATGGCCTAGATGGCTGGTTTGGGTTTGATTGTTTCCAATTACTTCCACTGATCAGCTTTCCACAGTAGCTTGTAGCACTCGGCTAAATGAGGTTATCGTTGGTTCACAGTGCATAAGTAGATTCACATAAACGCCGACAGGAATGGAAACAGAAAATACTGTGAAGTGCAATTGAAGTTATTGTGGCTGGCACAGTTGAGAAACAGGAGAAGAACGCATTTATATTTCTGTTACTTGTAATGATTTGCTGTGCTCTTACCAATTCCTAACAGTAGCTTGCAAAAAAAATTACTATAAACCCTGAATTTTAAGTAACAAAACAACCTATTACATAAACTTCATCTTATACGTTTTGTACCCACGTAGGATATGCTCTGACTTTTTTTCTTCTGGCATATTGAAGAAAATAGAGGTTAAATCGTAGTTTCCACATATCTTACTAATTGGCATGCGAGTGATGGAACTAAACCATGGTTAAAGGCATTGATGTGATTCTGTTGCGGGGCAGGCAGATGTTCTTCCAGCCTTCCGTTGACAGTTAATTGATACCCAGATGAGCATCCTGTTACTATCCCATCACAAGATGCATTCCCTTGTGTCGGACTGTCAAACGGCAGGAAGAAAGGTGTTATGTTGTTCTTTAAAGGTTCATTAAAACACTATAACCTTTTAAACAGGAAAAGAAAAAACATCTGTGGTAATGTCTCCTATATTATGTGGCATATTACCCTGTGACAGCTGAAAGGTGCTTGGAAAGAAATTTGCACAGCTAGAATTTGTGTCACTACATTAGCGTTGAAGAGGAGCATTTGGATGGAAACGGGCCACTGAGGGAAAACAGCTTATGAAATGCTGTCTTATGGGAAGCACTTGGGAAGACCAAGAGGCTCTAGTTAGGGTGAATTTGGCGGAACCCTGGAGAACTTATTGTGCCTATAAAATCCAATAGAACTTGTATAGTTTTAGAGCTTTCCGTGGAGAAGCGTTGTGTAGAAGTATTGTAAAATTCTTTAGGAAAGTTACTGTTTTCCTCAGAAGGGATTTTGGACCAGGTTTGTACAACAGTTCATAAACTTTTTACGGTGTTTTGTTAGTGATGTTATGAAATCCTATTTTTAAACTGCTTTATTAGGGCTGGGACCTAGCTAATTTTGAGTGAGTCTTCTCACTTCAGCTGTCTTAGTGAAGCACCTAATTTCATGTAGCTGTATACATCCTTCTGTAGTGAACAGAAACATTTAACCACATAAGTAACTTATTCTGTAAGTTTCAAAAATGCCCATTTAATTTGATCTATGTATATATACATACTTACATATGTATGCATACAGACTGTATCTGATGTGTATTTCATGCATTTCAGTGGGGCAGTTCACTGTAGTTGATCTGTATTTATTGACTACAAATGAAATATAAGATTAAGGTTAGACTCAGTGCGTGACTTTTGAGTGACTAGGGTTGGCTGAGGTGACTGCAACCCACCAAATTTCTTAATCAGCATCTTGGTTTTGAACTCCACCCTTCACTGGCTGTAGCAGCGGAGTACATAGTATTCTTTTCATGCTGCACAGATGGGTATCGGTACGTCACCTTTATTTCTGGATGAGAAAAGAAAGGTCAATTTATGAAAATTAAAATATCTATGGCAACAATTTTAACAGGAGGATGTAATCATGTTGTATGTTTCTGTGTTAGGAGTATTTTGGAAAAAATAGGCATTAAAAAAATTCAGCCATTGAGATGTAGTATGTACTTGCTAACCAGTATTGCCGTGTAATTCTGTGTATTGAAAATTGGACTTGTTTCTTCTGTGTGGTATTTCCAGGTTTCTAATTATCAACAATTGATAATATAACTCCAGTTCTTTGACACCTCTAAAAGATTTTTAAGATAAATAGCCAAATTCTGTCTTAGTATAATTGACTTAAGATTAGCTGAATCCATTATTATGGGCAGAGAGCTTTGTCTTCTATTGAATTGCCTCTAAGAGGCAAAAGTCCTAACTTTGCAAGCGAGCCCTTATGTGTATAAATTGGGGTATAAATTGAAGGTTTACATATAAAATCCTAAATGGTAGATAAAGAAGAAACATTCTAAGTAGTAATATATTCTCAATTGCTCTAGTAAGCTTCTATGTGAATTTGACATAAAATGTTGTCGTATACCTCTTAAAATTCAATTGTCCCTTAGTCCCAGCTGCCAGATTGCTTATCCCTCTGCACTATTTGCTCTTGCATGGCAAAACAATCAAACCAGTTCTGTGTTGTAAGCTGACTTCTTCAACAAAAATACACTATTTCTCTTTCTCCATCACTCTCCTTTAAAGGAATCATTCCTGGACTACTATCACTTGTGTGGTTTAGGTGTACAAAAAAGGTGGAAATATGCAGGTTGCAAAGGAAGGGGAGTACTTCTGCCTCTCACTATCACACTGAGAGAGACTTGTTGAGAGCCACCCTTAGATGGCAATGTCAACATCTGGCTGGTATTTCTACGTGGAACTCCAGAAAAGAAGGGTTTTGTTGCTGGCTTTGCTGCTTGCAATTTTGCTCCCATTCTGAAGACAAGCTACGAATCCAGGGGAGGTTATAGGGCCGTGTCAGCTTCTCTGCCACTTCCTGCGTTATGAAATTTCTTTGGAAAGCTGCCTCAAGGAGAAGCTTTTCTTCTCCAAAAGTAGCAGTCTCCAGCACTTGTTAGGGGGCAGCCTGGGAAGCCCAAGGCTTTAGGCTGCTTTCCACTGGATACCTTGTGGCAATGCCAACCCTCCCAGTGGATTGTTCAGATCTCGGGGAATTTGGATTTGTTCTGAAAACATCACTTTCTAGAAGTTTCTCCCATTCAATTTTAGTCTCTGAAGCAGAAAAAGGTTGGAAAATACAACAGCTAAAGACTGAGAAGTGGAAAGCGAATTACATAAAAAGCCCTTACAAGAACAAATACAAACCTAACAGGAACATTTTTATCATCACATTTTTTACACTAATCCTATTTTGGAGCGTGCTTATAGCTTCTGAATTTTTATTCTGCAGTGAGAGAGGGAGAGTAAGTAACTATTTTAGCAATCTTTTATGAATTCTCTAGTAGGAACCATCCGGCCTACGTACCGAAAAGAAAATGCTAAATGAACTGTTGATCATGCAGAAGATGGTGTTCTCAAAAGTTAAGTTTTATTTTTTTTCTGCTAAAATTTGAATATTCCCATATTATGCTTTCAAAACTAGTTCTGCAAAATACCTTAGCGTGCTTTGCTAATGTGGATGTAGGAAGGAGAGAAAGTAGCTCTTAAAATACATTTTTTCAAGTCTTCCATTTAAAACCATTTAGCTAGTATTTGTGTAACACCTGTGATTCAGGTCTTTACACTCTCTATGCGAGAACTGATCTGCGGGGTTATTTACCTTCTCCAGGTTTACTTTGTCTAAAATGGTTCTGTGCATTCAGAGTAAATACCTATTTGTATTTCTCATGTATGGAAACAGCTGCATCAGTGGAAACTTCCCAAATGTAGATACACGCTGAGGTATCTATTCAGAGGCTAAAATAACTGCAACAGTTAATCAGGAAAATTCTATTTATAAAAAAATATTTGTTTAGAATTTTGATGGTTTTACTGGATTTTTTTTAAATGTTGATAAATAATAACTGCGCACTCAGAACTTTAAGGGATATTTTAAAAACAAATCCCTTTGGTTGAACAAACAAATGGAGCTTTTGTGGGCCTGACACAGCATCTGGTGGAATCATAGAATCATTTAGGTTTGAAAAGCTCTGTAAGATTATCAAGTCCAACTGTTAAACTAGCACTGCCAGAGCCATCACTAAACCAGGACACCAAACACCACCTCTCCACTCGACAACATCCCTGGGGAGCCTGTTCTAGAGCTTAACAACCCTTTCAGTGAAGAAATTTTTCCTGATATCCAATCTAAACCCCCAAACCCCCCTCCGGTGCAACTTGAACTCATTTCTCTTGTCCTATCCTTTGTTACTTGGGAGAAGATACTAAACCCCACTGTGCTACAGCCGCCTTTCTGGTAGTTGGAGAGAGCAATAAGGTCTCCCTGCAGCCTCCTTTTCTCCAGGCTAAACAACCCCAGTTCCCTCAACTGCTGCTCATAAGACTTGTTCTCCAGAACAAGTCCCTTCACCAGCTTCGTTGCCCTTCTTTGGACACACTCCAGCACCTCAATGTCCTTCTTGTCATAAGGGGCCCATAAATGAACACAGGATTCGAGATGCAGCCTCATCAGTGCCAAGTACAGGGGAATGATCACTTCCCTGGTCCTGCTGGACACACTATTCCCAACAGAGCCCAGGATGGCAGTATTAGTTGGAGTTTTTTTGCTTAAGTTCA